ACTGGGCTGATGCTGCCTTAAGCTCTATTGTTAAGGGAGCAAACGCCGCTCTGTAGTCGTACTGGTTGTCTGAGGAAACAGTAGGTCTCTTACAGCTTATGGACAGAGAGAGGAAACCTCTGCTTCCCAGAAGCCATGGCAAACATCTGCCTCATGGTCTCCTCCTGGGTTGTGTTTCTATCTATTTTAGCCAGCCATAGGAGCCAGGAGTGGCCACTTTTTTGTGTGTGGGAAACTATGGTCGTTTTGATTTTGAGATGGTTGGTTAAACCATCCAACATACATTGGAAGTAATACCTCACGATGCTTAAGCCATTCCAAGCCTATTTGGGGGTTTTGACTGGGGATAAATGAGATGGGATGAATATCACCAAAACCAGCTGGGAGAGTGACTTATCCAAAAGAAGACTGGATATTGTCAAAGGGAGCCCAGAAGACAGCTGTTCATAGAAGGCTTCAGAGGCTTTGGGTCATAATCCACTAATTATTTCTGGAAAAAAAAATATTGTTTCCCCTAGACAGGAAGGGGCTTCTCAAGGGAAGGAGGAGCCCTCACCTCACTTGTCTCTAACAAGTCAGACTGGATAAAGTGGGTGTGGTTTCGCCTGTTATCCCAGTGCTTGGGATGTACAGGCAGAAGAATCGCCTCAAGTTCAAGGCTCGCCTGGTCTGCACAGCAAGTGCCAGGCCAGCCCGGACTGCATCTGTCAGCACATAGTCAGCACACCTGAGAACCGAGGTCATGCCCGCCCGCTGAAGAGCGTGCACTCTCCAATGAGAGCCGTGCACTCTCGTTTCACGCCCACCATCTGGGTTGCTAGACTGGTGGCAGCAGGCTCACACCACCACAGCTCTGTGGTTCATGTCACTCCGTGACACGTCACCAGTTCCCGTGGATAAACGTCTACCCAGCCTTTGAAGGACAAACATTTGAAAACTGTTCTGTGGTAAATATTGTGGCTATCTTACTTTTAAAATGATTAGTTCAGGCATCACAGGAGGGGTGTGTGTGTGTGTATATATATTTATATATAGAAATAGATGACATTATTTTTAAATATTATGAAGAAAGCTGAAAGCATGCTTAGTTGAAAAAAAAATGGCCATTTTAGTGTTCATCTTGTTCCCAAGATTTTGCAATAGTGTGGCATCCATTAAATAATAAGTGTGTTACACGTTTCAGTGTGTGGTAACAAGAAGAAGTGACTTCATAGCCACTTGGTCCGCTCTGTTGTGGTTTATGATGCCATCTGGATTCTTCGGTGGAATGATTTTCCATCTAAATCACTGTAAACTTCTATTTAGTTTTCACAAATCTGAAGGCAGATCTGTTTGTGGTTTTTAGCAGTGATGTAATTCTGGAACATACTGTGACTGCTAAAAGCTGTCGTATACCACCAGTATTTAACTCAGTGTCTCACATCATTTCAGACAAAACTAGAAGCCTGGAAAAAAACAATCCGCTTCTCCACTTGAAGATTTTATACTTCAGTGTTTCCTGTCTGCCTTACCACTCACATTTGATCATGCCAGTTGAGATGAGTGGGGAGGGGCTCTGGAGAGTTCTGCCCCTCAGTTAGGAAGCTCGGATACAATGTTTCACTGACCTATGCTTTTTTACCGCCATGTGGTAGAGAAAGAGAACCAATCTCACTTCTTGGCTGACAGTGTAAAAGTGAGTGGGTTATATTTCAAAGTACATCCATATTTGGGATGTACACAGTGAACTGCACAGAAGAAATAGGCAGCTAAGCCTTCCTTTCTCAGTTCTGAAGATGTCAAGGTCCCGTGTTCTTACTCTGCATTCCTCCTCAGCGGAAGCGGTCTGAGGGTGGGGCGTGCCACTGATGACAGTGGTTGATGGACGGGTAAACTCAGCCTGTGCTGCAGACCCAACACAGAGGACAGAGACAGGAGACAGTTCTCAAAGAGCCGGAGAGAAAGCGAGATTTGTGGGCTCGTGTCAGTGTATTAATACAAAGTTGAGTTGAAAAATCAAGAAGCCAGTGATGGTAGCACACACCTTTAATCCCAGTACTTGAGAGGCAGAGGCAAGGGAATCCCTGAGTTTGAGGCCAGCCTGGTCTACACTGTGAGTTCCAGGACAGCCAGAGCTACACAGAGAAATCCTGTCTCAAAAAGCCAAAAAAAGAAAGAAAAACAAAGAAAAGGAAACTGATCGGGACAGGTCCTTGCTGTACATTGGAACAGTAGGAGGCAGATATGAAGGTGGTATAGTTTCTAAGGTGTTAGGAGGGTGTTATTAAAGTCTCCTCAGCAAGGCACAGAGATCCGAGAAACACCCATCAAAAGGACTACTCCACAGATGTCAAACATGCAGAAAGCCTGGGTCCAGGTCCTCTGCACTCTTACCGTGAAAAATGTAGATTCCTCTAATGTGAACCGAGGACTTGGGATTGGTTGGTCTCTTCAGCCCTAAGACATGAAGAGCCAGAGTCATCCGCCTCACCATCTTGAGCATAAACCACAGACTGAACATCTGGCAACTATAATGATAGTTTTTCTGTATGCGTGGGAGAACCTGTCCTCTGGATACAATGTGGCCATTGTCCTCTTGAACTCCAGCATTGTAATTATCCACAGGCGACCTGCTCAGGATTGGCTCTGTTATCATCGGGTCCTGGAAGGGAGGAAGGGGCCCTCAAAGCAGCACACACTGAGTGTGAGGCTCCCCGTTCCCTAAGGACATGGAGGAAGGTGGGGGGGTGTTTTCTTCAGTGATATGTTGCCCACGCTGTAGCTAGCCTGTCACCTGGGCTACTGTAAGCAGCACAGTTAAACTCATTAGTTCATCAAATTAAACTGGGGTGCAGTAGTTTCTTCAGTATGTCATTGGCACTCTGTATGGGGTGGAAGACGTGTGCTCACGTCTCCCCAGGAGAAGTTCATGCAATGATACGGCAAATGTTTGCTGTAGGTGGAGTTTTCCTGTGTCGGCCATTCACTTCCAAATAACCACTCAGAGGCTTAATATTAATTATAAATGTTTGGCCAATAGCTCAGGCTTGTTACTAGCTAACTCTTACATTTTAAATTAACCCATATTTCTTACCTATGTTTTGCCACATGGCTCGGTACCTTTTCTCAGTATGGCTGTCCGTCCATCTTGCTTCTCTCTGCATCTGTTGGTGACTCCCCTAACTCTGCCCTTCTTTTTCCCATCATTCTCAATTTGGCTCTCCCACCTAACTTTATCCTGTTCAGCTATTGGCCAGGTCAGTTTGTTTATTAAACTAATCACAGTGACATATATTTACAGAGTATAAAGGAATATTCCACAGTTTGCCAAGTGCTTAAAATACAGGTGATACCAGACTAGATCCTAGTATCACAACAGTGGAAGAGCGAAAACCCTCTCAAGTTGCATTCTGGTGAGAGAGGCAGAAAATCAGATACATAAATCAACAAGGTAAGCTGGGGTGCTAATAATTTGTATGAACACAGTAAAGCAGAACATTGGCCGAGGGGGTTCTGTCTGTCCTCTGAACAGCGATGTTCAGTTGAGAACTAACCTGAAGGACAGAGCTGTGAGACTGCCTGGGGACGGGGCTGGCAGGGTGAGATGGAGCAGAAGAGGTCTTCAGGAAGGAGTTTGATACACTGAGAGGACAGACTGTGGCCCACTGAGCTAGCAAGGAGGAATTAGAAGCAGACTGGTACCAGGTTATATGGGAGCTTGGGAGCCACTCCAAGGAGCTTGGACTTTCTCTCGGGTGCAGGGAAGCCTGTGGGCGGTTTTAAGCAGGAAAATGAAAAGATCTGCTTTACGTTATCAGAAGATGAGTCTTGGTGATTCCATAGAGAATAAACTATAGCAAGATAAAAGGAGGAAGGAGGCCAGTTAAAAGGCAGTAAGTAGTAGGAGCCAAGGTGGAAGATGGCGATGACTAGAGCCGTGGAGTAGCCGAGACATTGGGCGTCACCGAGTGGCTGTGGGATACAGACTGAGGTTTCTGGAAATACAGACAGGGCTCCCCCTTCCCTCCATGCGTCCCTAATCGCTACATAACTCTTCGTTTCTATGCAGGAAACTCGTGTTAGGTCCTACTGTTCATGCTTTTTATTTCTGCCCAAAGAAGGGATTTGGGCTCTGTATTATTACTTGACTTATTATTCATTTTTCAATTAATAATTCATACAAGTGAGTCAAGTGCACAAGTTTACTTCTTGGTTACTTGGATACTGCTTCCCGCGCATGGATTCTGCCTTGCAAGAATGAGGGCATTATTTAAGAACTGTGTGCACTACTGGGATCCACATCACTGACCTGTACAATGCAGTACATTCGCAATTTAATACTGCGGCTGCGCCCCACAGGCCAAAGACAGCTTAAGACGTTAAAGTTTGCTTATGATTTAGAGGGCTGTGTGCATATGTACGCTTGTGCATGTTGGGGTCAGAGGGCAACTTTGCAGAGTCTTTTCTCTCCTTCCACTTTATATGGGTTCTGGGAATGAATGTAGATCAAGGCTTGCACTAGCCACCGTCCACTGTCCGAAAGTTGCATCAATGTATTCACACAGGGAGTATGTATCCAGTTCTCTACACCCTCAACAACACTAAACGTCTGTAATTACTGTTCAACTAGTAACTGAAAAATTACTTTTTGCTTTGCTTCATTGTTAACTACCTCTTCGTGTTTGCTGGCTTTATATTTCTTCTGTCTGTCTTCTTTGACTATCTTGATATGAGATTGCTTCATCTATTATTTATTGGATCTCTTTGATATATCTGCATGTTACACTCTGCTTGTACTATATTTTATGGAAAACCTCTCCCAACATATTGCCAAAACTGACTTGGCTTTTTAAGTTGCATTTAGGAACCTCTTTGTCAGAATCCAATGGTGTAGGGTTGGACGAAGCATGAAATAAGCTTTGCACCTCTTACTTTTAAAGCAGTTAAGATGAAAATTAAAATGAGTAAGGATACAGATGCTAACTCTGTAGTTTAATTATGTCTCTGTTGTTTCCTTCTAGTGTCCCCAATACCACCTTCACCGAATTCCGAGAAGCCGGGAGGTTCGGCAGTCCTGGCTCTCCTCCGTGTTCACCACCTTGAACTCCATGTGGTTTTCCTTTCCGCTGGTTCACCGAATAAAGCCAGATTTGGTAGGTAAGCCTGTCCCTCGGGACAGAGAAAGTAACTCTCCCATCGCTTGTCCACTGATAATAAGATCTGTTGTTTATCGGTGAGCCAGGGCTTTTTAGAGATAACACAAAATGTATAGTTTATGTGCACTTTGCTGAAAGAGGTGGGAAGTTTGCCTTCCTAGCTACAGTTTGAACTGAGAGTTTGTCCTGTCCTTCCTTTTATGATGACAAACGCCAACAGTGTCTTTAACTGACACTTGTGGCTGGCTGCTCACTGTGGTGCCTAACCAGCACCATGTGCGAGTCAACCACCAAATAGTTGATTCTCTTTCAATACTCTCTTTGGTATTTGTTAAGACTTTTACCAAATATGGTATGTGGCGGTCAGAATTTCATATGTATTCAAGTTTTCCTAGGAAAGGAGTACAGGAAATAGAAAGCTAAAAGTTGAATACATTCCTGTATCACTGCCTTCTCTGTCTGTGAAAGTCCTGCATGCTCTTGCAGTCTTCGTGGTAAAGTTGGAGGGTTAATTGCAGATGTGCAGCAGAAGATAGTGCAGATCAGTGGATGTGTATCACAGTGCTGTGCATGGCTCTGAAATTATGCTCATTCCTGTAGACGGCGGAAGCCATTAACTGCTGTAGCCTGATTCCCAGATATACAAATCCTGACGAGTCTATATTATTCTCTTGAATAATTGAGCCAAAGCATGTTTGCTAGTGATTTAGAAAGTTCTTCATCAGCTAGATTGTAGTTTAAACCCTTATTTTGGAGGACAGTTTAAAACCCTTTATTTTTTTACATGAGTAGTTCTCTATGAGTTTTTTAAAATAGCATTTACATACCATAAAATGTACAGCTCTTAAGTGTATAGTTTGACCACGTCCCTAATAAGACATAGAAACTCTCCATGATCTCAGAGTGTTTTCTCTGGCCTCTTCCAGTCAACCCGAGCCCCCAAGACATCACTGTTTTCTGATTTATACCACCCTAGATTAGTTTTATGTGCATTTATTTTTTTTAAAGTTAATTTTTATTTTATATGTATGGGTATTTTGCCTGCATGTATGTTTGTGTATCATGTGCATGCCTGGAGCCCACGGAGGCCAGAAGATTCATCGGATTCCCAGAGACTGAAGTTATGAAGGGTTGCTAGCTTCCATGTGGGTGCTGGGAATTGAACCCCAATCCTCTGGAAGAGCAGCCAGGACCCTTAACCACTGACCGATCTTCCCAATTCCCTTAAATTTTTGTCAAAATAAGTTGAACTCACAGTCTACAACTACGTTGTTTAGCATGTAGTAGTCAAATATCTTTCTTAAAAAATTATTGTTGGCCTCAAATACTTAATTTATTTTTAAACTTAAGAGACAAGTGGAAGGGGAGAAAGGTCATTTTATTTTATTTATTTTATTTTGAGGTGTGTTAAGTATTCTTTATTTGATATTGTACATAAACCACACTACAGTGCTTTCTAGTGAGTTAAAAGCAGCCTCGTTAGATAGCAGAGAATTCCGATTAAATTGACTTGGTCAAGCACAGTCGAGACCCCTGCTTCCTTGTCTTTAATCACGGCCTGTAACAGGCTAATGAGTAAAGCTGAAACAAGAATGAGTCATGCTTTGTTCTGACAGTGAAGGGAATTGTCCCCAGTAGGAAAACATACTCCTATAACCAATTATGTAAATCTAAGTATAGAGCCATTCTTTGGAGCTGGAGAGAGAGGTCAGTGGTTAGAGCAATAACTGCTTTCCAGAGGACCTGAGGCTGATTCCTGTACCCACAAGGTGGCTCAACCATCTGTTACTCCAGATCCAGGACATCTGATGCTCTCTTCAGATCTCTTCGTGCACCAAGCATGCACACACATAGTGCACAGACATAGTGCAGACAAAATACTCACATACATAAAATTAAATGAATTGAATTTAAAGGACCACCATTCTTCAGTAGATTTCAAGGTGGCATTCCTTATCTTTGTGAAAAGTTGGGCATTACTAATTAGATCCAATCATATCTTTATTTTTTAAATTTATTTTATGTGTATGGGTATTTTATCTGCACCTCAGAAGAGTCCATCTTGATTCCATGGGACTACAGTTACAGCTGGTTGTGAACTGCCATGTGGATGCTGGGAATTGAACTTACGACCTCTGGAAGAGCAGCCAGTGCTCTTACCCACTGAGCCATCTCTCCCGCCCCCCAATCATATCTTTAAAGGGGGGAAATAGTGATAATATTTAGTAAACTGAAATTGCTATTTAAAAAAAAATCATATTGGGCTGTGCATGGTCATACACATCTTTAATCCCAGCACTTTGGAAGCAGAGGCAGGAGGATCTCTGTGAGTTTAAGGCCAGCTGGTCTACATTATCAAGCTCTAGAACATCCAGGAATATGTAGAGAGACCCTGTTTCAAAAAGCAAACAAATAAACAAAAAGATCATATTCACTTTACTATAATCTAGTTTTACTTAAATCAGGACTGGCTGTCCAGCAAAAATACTATGTTACCTTTCCTACTCTGGATTCTGTTCATGAGTTTAATCCTGGCACATACTGAAAGCCGGGAGACATTTGCTTTATAATAAGTAGGGCATGACTATCACTGGTTAGCAGCCCCTTTAATAAAACTGTTAAACCTGCCCTTTCTCCCTTCTGAGTCCCAGCGAAGATTACTTTGTTCCAGAGATTGCCTTTCTGGGGATTCTCTAAATACGCCATCAGTGTGTTCTCTCTCTAGGTGATGCCTGTGCTATGTGTGAGAGAGCCCTGGTGTGTCTTCCTCCCAAACAGGCCGTGCAGATTTGGTCCGGCCTTCTGCTTGCCCCTGTTTTCTACAGTGTGCCGCTGAGTGCACTTTGCAGCAGAAATCTCCACGCCTTTCTGAGTATTGCCCATTTATAATTCATTCTTCCGTTACTCAGCCACTTTGAGTGCAGCAACATCAGAGTTCAGAAGGAAATGATAAGTGATGGGTAATGTCCGCTGTGGATGCAGAAGAGCTTGGTGACTCCCTGGCCTGGTTTTTGTTTGGTATTGCGATGTCAGGGATTGAACCCAGCTCCTCAGGAATTCTAGGCATGCGCTGTAACACTCAGCTCTATGTTTCTGATACTCTGTTGGTGTGCCTCGTGGGTGTCGGGACTCTTGGTCCCATTTTGCCTCTTACTTTAGTTCATTCAGTTTCCTTCGAGGCCTTATTACCTAAAAACAAAAAGGATTGGGCTAGCTGTCCTCTACATTTCTTTAATTAGTCCAAAGTTTCATCAATGCTGTAAAATTGCTTGTAAAAAGTGTGTGTGGGGGGGGTATGCTCATGTTTGTGAGGGAGAAGAGAGGAAGGACTTGGGGTGTGTGGAAATACTTCTTGCACTTTCAAGTGCTGAATTTTTTTTTTTTTTTGTGATATATATTTTTTATTTTACAATACCATTCAGTTCTACATATCAGCCATGGGTTCCCCTATTCTCCCCCCTCCCACGCCCTCCCCTTACCCCCAGCCCACCCTCCATTCCCACCTCCTCCAGGACAAGTCCTCCCC